AAAGTTCTTGATTAATGGTTTGAATGGTTCAACTATAAATACAAATGTTCATAAGGAAATTTGCACAGCCTTTAAATTGGGAATTAGAAAAATACCTACATTTTGTGACCTAATAAAAATGATGGTAGCTCAGTTAATACTTGATCTGTTATAATAACTGCTTAAAGACAGTATATACTACTGTATATAGTCAGGATGGACAAGAAAAACAGGTAACTCTTCCTCTTAAATAACTCTTAAAGTTATTTAAATAAAATAGTTGTCAGTTAAAACAGAAAAACATGATGGACCCCTCACCGCCCTGTGGATATGCCTCTTGATCAAGATGTAGAGCACAGGAAGGGTGAGGTAGGCCAGGAACTCCCAGATCTTTCCAGTCAGCAGCATCCACAGGACCCGATCCGGAGCCTCGATCCTGACCCAGCACCAGCCCACAGACACCTCTGATGCATCGTAGCCTATCTTGTTGAGGCACACAGCGGTGACAGTGATGACCAGAGGGACGCCCCAGCTGGAAAACAAAAGCAAAAGCAGAGAGTCAATGTTAGTTACCTCAAATGTCGTTTTTTTGTTTGTAACTTAAATTAATGTTTGTGGGTGGCTTTCTCTCTCTCTCTCTCTCTCTATATATATATATATATATATATATATATATATTTATATATAAAAGACTGTTTTAGTTTATGCATGGTAGAACCACAAAACCATTGCCACTTTCTGAAAACAGCATTCACCATTTCTTATTTAAGCATGAGCTGTTCTCTTAAAGCAATCTCAAATATACTTTATTTGAATATCATTTTATTATGAAAATAGGGTAGAATGTTATAAATGCCACAATGCTTAAGACCTAGTTGTGTTTGAATGCATTAAATGGACTCTTGCATTGTTGAGTGTTGCAGAAACAAAATTCCCATTAGATTATATGCTGTTATTTTCTGTCATTTGTGTAAGGCCCCTTGGTCTGCAGCGATCCTTCTAAATCCAGTCCTGAATACAAATATACAAATACATGCCACACGTTTCAGATTTCTATTTGTAAAAAATAAATAAATACATAAATAAACAAACTTACTTTCTAGCTAAAAACAAAACGGTACACTAAAATTTTGTTTGTAATGGTACAATATGGAGAACAATACTTCTGCAAAGTGCTGTAAGTGAAAGCATGTTATTTGTTCACTGAAAAAGAAGAGAGAAATATAATACAGTTTGAATAATGAACTAGCCTGGACTAACTTTCCAAGAGTTCCCATGGAAACCGTAGGCGCTGGAGTAGTGTTCCACTTTACGCTAGTAAAGTTAGTCATGTTCCCTTTCCTAATATTAGCTAAAACCCTATATAACATTTGAAACTAAGGCATAAATCAAGCCAAAGCCGTACTTCAGTATTTCCCGCAAACTTCCCAACATGCCTCAGGCTGCGCTCGGTTTGTCTTAGAAGCTACTTTTACAGCTAGCTAGACTGGTTTCACGGCGATATCCATACCTGACCAGGTGGAAGAACACTACCAGGCTGTCGGCGACCCTCTGGCTAGACCTGACGATGAAGACGTAGAGGTACACGGCGATGGACACGGTCCAGAAGAAACTGCTGGTGTTCGAGAAAGTGGATATGGCTCCCTGAGCGACGCACTCGGTCGAGTCGGTGCGGAAAACACTCCAGACTCCGACGGCGTAGGAGACGGCCGACAGCCAGTCGGTCACCGAGAGGAACACCAGCAGCCTCCGCGGGGTGGTCCTCAAGTCCGTCCAGATAATGTGTGTGAGGATGATGAGAGAGGAGCCCAGGAAGGACAGAGCGCAGGTACCCAACACCACCACCCGCTCTGACAAATACAACTCTGTCTGACTCTCGTTGGCCATAGTTTACACCGAAAACTGGCTGCTACTTCAGAGTTTGCCCAAACACTCCTGGGAGCAGTAGCAGCAGATTTGTGCTAGATCTTATCATGATTTCCCTCAAAGGCAGTGTAAGTTTAAAACTTTCAGTCCAAACGAGGCAAACAAAACTTTTCGTCCAGCGTTTAAGCCCTCCCTCCCCGCACGCCTACTGTTTGCACCAACCGGAACCCAAAGCAGAAGTCAGTCAGCTGGTAAAGGGAAGAAACAAGTTTATTTTTGTCCGTAGATTATTTTTTTCTTAGCTAGTTACAGCTGTTGGATCACCGTGTGACACATGGCATTAAGGCTTAAACATAGATTTTTAAATTATATAAAACGTGACCCACGAATCAAGAAAGTGTTTAGAAAAATGTTTTTACGTTCTTGTCTCAAAGTTTCACATTTTAGCAGAGGCGTCACCGAGGGGGGCTTACGGGGCAGTGGTCACCATATATTTATGCAAATCATTTTTCTGTCCGTCATTACATGATGAATTTGAATGTCCTTCTCTCATTGGGTTACTTTCCCGGTGTTGACTTTTGTTTTTCCAAGTTAATATTTAGTTCTGGTTGCATTTTTAGTTCGATTTCACTGAATCTCTCCTCATTTTTGTCAACAAGTCAAAAAAAAAAAAAAAAAAACTCATACAACTTTAAATATTTTTTTTTTTAACCTACTAGTGAATCGAAATAAAGTTGTAGTTTGGAAAACAGAAAAACACATAAACGTTTTAAAGCAAGCTTATTTCAGTTTTTGGACAAAACAAGTAATTTTTGCTTCTGTCTGATCTGTAAACTAAACTTGACGTAGTTACATGAGACTGAATTGATGAGGGGTTACTCAAGGTTTTTCCTGAGTAAGCGCAGACCCTTTTAAAATAGCAGTAAGCCTCTTGACATATTGTATTTTATAAGGTAATAGGTAGCAGGTGTTCTGCTTGAGGTAAGCATTAGTGCATCATAAAAGTCAGAATCAATAGAGTGATTAGGAAGGCTGCTTCTGGCCACTACAAGGAGAGAAAAGGGCTGCATTAAAAAGTGCTTTGCAACGTAAAGGTGCTTCATCACACATTGTTTTTAAGTGAAGTTTATTTCCTCAGTGACTGGTGGTGGCTTTGTGTTTACTTTTTTTCTTAACAGCTCAGAGGACAGTGTGTCCCCTGCAGTGTTCGGATTGTTGATGAACTGATACACTGATGAACATTTTAACCAATAAATATATTTCTGTGAGGGCATTTGATATGAATTTCACACTAAATGTGAATCAGTGATTCACACATTTGAAAAATAAAAACATATTGATTCGATTCATAAATCAAGTTATATTTTATAAAGTGGAACACTATGCTTTTTGTTTCCACTGTGTCTTTTTCACAGAAGACTCGTCTAATAATTGGTAGAAACAAAGGGCTCTTTCAAGAACTTTATAAACATTGTTGCAAAATTGGTTGAAGAGATATTTAGAAACTTGTGAATGTTCAAGTGAGCACTGGAAGTATTGGGCCACAAGATTTACAGCAGAGGAATCAACATGAGAAAAATTACTGAGCAGCCAAGGAGCCCATGAGAAATACCTTTAATGTAGAAAAACTTTGATGTCAGTACTTATTTCCCCCAAGATAAGGAAGTCTTGTGTGTGTTTATGGTGTAAAGCACTTTGAATTGCCTTATTGCTGAAATGTGCTATACAAACAAACTGGATTGATTGATTGATTGATTGATTGAAGGTGCGTTGCAGGTCCAGAGTTATTTACGAATGGCTTTTTGGGCTTTAAATGTAGCTTGTTCAGACATGTTTTATTGTTAACGATCTGGATTTATAGCTCTTTGACTTAGTAGAAAACACGTTTCCTTGTTGGAGTTTAGTCTTTTTTTTTATCTAATAATGCAAACTGTATAAAGAAGGGTGTTATTGATATGTAGTAAACAATGTACATGGCAAATTTTTCTCCAATTTTAACTTTCAGCTCTTTTTATGTTATCAAATATGCTTCCAGAGGTTTTACATTTTTTATTGCTGCACTTCAAATCAATTGAAAAATTATCAACAATTGACTGGCCTGGAATTCCTTATCATTTTTGTTTCATTAACTACTGTAAAATTAACCCTTTCATTTTGTTGTAATTTATCTGTAACAGAAGCATTCCACCAATAAATCAAAAAGTACAGAATATAAACTGAATTAAAGGGTGCGCCGCTGATGGGCGTCCTCGGCTCTAGAGTAAAATTTTTCTCTTATCAAGCAGCTTGCAGGGCCGCTGTAATGAGACGACGACTCGTAACCTCTGTGATTAATGAGCGACGTCTGCTGTTCTTTGTGTCCAGCAGCTGTTAATTATTTCTTGGCCTCGAATTTGAGGGTTTCCATAGAGCTAAAATTTAGGAAGGCTTAAAGTCAGCGAAGCAGTGACCTTGTGTGCGAGCCGGCGTTTACTGCTTCTGCATCGCTGCAGCTCAGGAAAAACTGCAGCCCCCGTCGGCCCCCCTGGGCTGCAGCAGTGCAGTGAAATAGCAGGCTCTTTTTTTTTTTCTGCAGACTGCAGCAAGCGCAACATCTGCATTAGAGTCAGCAGCGCATTACGAGTAGCAGTGATGTGTTCTCCATTCACGTTCCTCTGATTCTTTATGCAAAAAAAAAAAAAAACATCAGAGGAACAAGATAGATTCAGCTGTAATTACAGAGTGAGTCTTTGAATTGATGTGCACCTGGTTCATTTGCACTCATTACTTCTGCTTTGTTGTCCTGGCAGCATCAGCTTTTCAGGTGCGTTGGTGCTTTTACACGCGGCAAAGCGGTTCACACACAGCACAACGTTTTTTCCGACCACAAAAACAAATGAGGCCGAATGATAAATAAGTTATTATGAAACATTTATTACAACCTTTTTACAATTAAATATCTAACATGGAGAAATGTCTTGGCTAATAAGTTTGATACATTCACAAATTAAATTAAGCTTGGTTACAAAGAAGGATGGACTGGAAAAAGGGAATCTAGCACTATTGAGACGTGCAGATATTTTCTTGACGCTAAAAACAAAAAAAAAGATTGATATGGGTTCAATAAATCGGTGCAGACTTTAATCAACAAAAGCATGCAGAGAGGCTGCTTTCAGTCACAAGATGGCAGCAGAAGAACATGGAACTACAGCTTAGAGTTCAGCGGTTCGGATGCCTTCATCCCAATGTCAATGTTGGTAATAAAAAAAGCCATGCTCTCTCGCTCTCTCTGTCCGTCTTCAGATTATCCTGTTTCCATTTCGAGTTTACAGCCCGGCTCCGTTTCCACGTTATGAAAACCTTTGTTCAGTCTCTGCACCTCGTGACGAGCATTGATCCCAGGGCATCTTATTGCGAAGAATTTCTGCGGCAGTATACTTGCTGATTGCTTCGTTCTCACTCCTCACAACAACCAGCTAAGACACTGCCAGAGAAACACCCACAGCAGCCGCAGCCTACCGTCCGTCCGCCCGTCTGTCCGCCTGCTTACTCTCAGCAGGAACTTGGCTGGTTTTAGCCGCACAGTTTGACCCCTTCAGTCTGGCACTGCTGACGTTTGCATCCCACTTTCCTGGCTTTTTGGTGTCGGGATGCTTCGCCAGTCACTGGAAGACCTATGGAACGGAAGATGTGGGGAAGGAAAGGATTGAGCATTATTTTGAATGGATGCATTTTCATATCGCATAAAAAATTCAAGTGGGTAGGAAGTCTTCGCTCCCTCCTCAGTAACCCAGAGCTTGTTTCTGAACAGATACTTCACATCCCTCCAGCCTTTTTTCTGCAGCATCACTTGAAGTTTGCATAACTTGGGCAAACACAAACACCCGGGAACTAAGAATAGATCTGTCATGACTCATGATTTTGCAACAAAACCTTGGTCTGGTTTAGCTCTCACCTCCTTGTGTTCACTTGAGTGAACCCGTTCTGTGTTGATGTACCTCAGGAACAACAACTAAACCCCCCCACCTCCACCTCCCCCCGCTCCTTGGTATCAGTGGCGTTCGCTCGCTGCAGAGCTATTTTAGGCCGACTGACCGCTGCTGTCTCCGTGTGGGATCTGCTTCTCCGACAGGACAACGGGAATACTGGAGACCGGCATTTCAGCTGCTAACGAATGGAAAAGAGGGACTTCTGTTTTGGATTCTTCAGTAGGGTTACCTTAGTCATCCGTCCACTGTGTTTTTGTGAAATTTATGACACGTTTATGGTTGTGCAACTGGGAATTCCAGAGCTTGATTTGTGCCTGCAGGCGCTGGTTCTTGTCTGATGTAAAATAATTTGAGCGTTTTACTAAAGCGATCTGCAACATTCACTTTTTAAAATTTGTTTTTACGAAGAATGAAGAAGTCTTCTCCTGTCCGCACAGAGGGACAGGGACTCCTCTTGACCCGCTTTCTGATGCCAAACAGCTGCGTCCGCGTCCCTTTGTGTCTTTGTCTGGAGGCCTGACGACACCTTCGCCGAGCACATGACGGCAGGGATTCCTCCCTGCTCCGGCCTTGATGTAATCCCTAATACAGGGCTGAGGAATGCCAAGGAAAAGCAGCGCTGCTGCTCGCTAAATGAATGAAAGGTTGCCGCTCTGCTTCAGTCTGCGGCGTCGGCACGGAGCCTCCGCTCATTAAGAGAAAGGGCTGTGAAGATTACGTTTAGAAATGTTATTGTAAGCAACTGGAACTGTCATTTGAGATGATTGCAATAGGTAAATGCATCTCAGCTAATTGACACTAGTTCATTCACAAAGTTGTTTTTTTTAGAGAAGTGTAAAGAAGTGTGTTTGAAAGACAACTCCATCAGAGGTCTCGCTTTGTCCACAACACAACAAAATCTGTTTATTCATTCAGAACGTGTTCAAGGCTACGAAGGTGGAATTTAACGTTTGAGTTTTTAAAATTTAAATTAACTGGGTATTAATACCCTATGACTACTAATTTAATAAGTAATTACTTCTGGATTAAATGAATTAGGTTATGTTACGTAAACAGAGGAGGAGTGTGTAATCTCAACAATTTAAAATGGATTCTGATTAAATCACTGGATTAAATTGTCATGTTATTTAGTGCGTTTAAATTTGGTTCAAGATAAATTTACTATGATTCATCACGAAGGACTATTTTGTATTTTATTGTATATATAGAGTTAGGACAAAACATTTTTATACTTCTTGCAGATTAGGATTAAAACGATTTCGTTCAACCATGAAGTTTGTTT